GCGCCCAGAGAGGCGCCAGTCAGGTCGCCTCTCTGCATTTCGCCGCAAACACTTTGCCCATTCCTCCCCCATAGTACTCTCAGGTCCTTAGGAGCCGAGAATCCGCTCTCCTCAGCCTCCGCACGGACCCCAGCGCTCAGCACGCGCCACCACTCACCATCTCGGAAGCAAGGCCACGAGAGAGGATCCGGCCCGCGGCCGAGCCCTCTTATATACTGCGAGATCCCTCCGCTCACACAGGAAGAATCCTTCGGAGACCGGGATCGATTTCAGCAACCCACTGTACTTCTGTTTTGCTTAATACTTTGCATTTCTGCTGACATCCAGGGTGGAACGGCGTTCGTAGGTTTCTTACCCGTGGAACAAAGCCCCCGCGGGACTATTTCGCCGGCTGGCGGAAGGAGACTGGAGTACTGCGCATCCCAGCAGGCCTCGCGCCCGCCCGCCCCGGAAGTAATTGTGGGTGCTACGGCGTCGCCGACTTCCTCCCCACTGGGCGCGGAAGGGGTTGGGCGCCAGACCTCGAGACGCGCTCGTTCTTGGAGGCCAGAAGGGGAAAGAAGCATGCAGGGAGTTGTAGTGCGAAGCCTAGAGGCCTTATCCTGAAGGCAGCGCTACGCCACCGGGGGGCGCCCTCGCCTCATTTCTGACAGTCCTGCTGCTAGGTGTAGGATTGCGCAGTGGAAGACCTGAGAGAAAACGAAATCATTTGTAAATAAATGTGTCCTTCCATTATGGAGAAGACCCCACAGTGAAGGACCATGGGCAAGTGCATTGTGTGGGAGCTGGTTCTCATTCAGCTTATTGCTGATCCTGTTAGCACAGTGCCAGGCACTGTGGTAAGTGTTTTATTCATTTATTTTTTTGTGGTGTTTTATATGTATTACTCATGTAACCCTCTGTGAGCCTATGGGGTAGGCAAATTAGTATCCTCACTTTAAGGATGGGAAAACAGTAACTTGCCCAAGGTCACACAGAACTAATAGGTGTTCCGGTAGGGCCAGCAGGTGGCGTACTGGTTAAGGTGCAGGTTTCCACAGGCTGGCTGCGCGCGAGTGCTGGACCCTGGCTCTTGAAAAATCTCTGGGAGGGACCAGTAGTTAGCGTAATGGCTATGTCGCTGGACTACTCCCATGTAGTCGACCGCAGTTCAAGTCCTGGACCTGGTGCCTTAAACTCATGCCGGGCGCTTGCGCAAGATCCCAAGAGGAGAATGGAGAAGGGATTGTGGTGTGGCCATCCCCCATTCCTCCCCACCCCGAAGTTGATTTCTCCCTTTCTCGCTCGCTTGCGCGCGCGCGCGCACTCTCTGTCTGTCTTTCTGTCTTTCTGGTGAGCACACGCACCATATTGCTAAAACCTCTCCAAAAAACAAATCACTGTGAATGCATGTGCATGTGTGCCCAAAATCCCAGAAGAGAATGGAAAAGAAGGGGTTGTGACATGATCATCCCCCGTCCACAGGGTGGGGCATACTTTCTCACTTCTCACTCTGTCTCCAGGTGCACTTGCACCGTGGGGCATACTTTCTCACTTCTCACTCTGTCTCACTTGCACTGTGTGGCAACAACTTTTTTTTTTTTTTTTTTTTTAAGGAGGTGGTCTGGCTTATGCTATCTTTCACATAACAAACACATGGTATTATAGCCTGGACTAGTGATTTAAATGTCTTTTACTAAGACCCGGAGAGAAAAATACACTTTACATTGCTACTCAGTACATACACAAACAGAAAGACACACATACAAAATCAAAGCACAAGAAACAATACCTGTCTTTAAGACATAAGGTACACTGATATGTTCTAGGCTGTCTTATTTTAGTAAATGCTGAGAAACCCTCTAAAGTAATTTCCTCACTCATTGGTGAGTCTATCCTCTGACTTTTATAAAATACACTTCCGGGGACCAGCAGTTGGCGTAATGGCTATGTTGCTGGACTCCCATGTAGTCGACCGTGGTTGGAGTCCCTGACTGGTGGCTTATACTCATGCTGAGTGTGTGTGCGTGCATGTCCAAGGTCCTGAGAGGAGAATGGAGGAGAAGGGATAGCAGTGTGGCCATCCCCCCTGGAGGGTGATTTCTCACTTTCTGTCTCTCTGTCTCTCACTGTCTTTCTGGCAAGCATACGTGTCCTATAGCAAAAACCTCTCCAAAAAAAAGTACACTTCTTTATCTACAAGTCTCACTTGCCTTTGAAGAACTGTCACAGTGGTTCAAGCTTTGAGCGTGAGTGGCTATCTATGGGTAGTCAACCACCCAGTTGTCTCCAAAGGTGAAGATAAAACAGTGACAAGTACAGATAGAAACCACTATTCATTCATGAGTCGTTCTGGAGTCTGAACACATCAGATTCACCCTTCTCTCCAAAAACCCATCATAGTTTTATTTAACCTTTAACTCTATTGGGACTAGAATTTAATATTTTCTTGCCTTGTCTTTTTTTAATTAAAAAAATAAAATTCCCCCTTTGGAGAAGTTTTTGCTATAGGGCATGTACGGTCACCAGAAAGACAGAGAGACAGAAAGTGAGAAATCACCCCTCCCCCGGGGGGGATGGCCATGCCGTAATCCCTTCTCCTCTGTTCTCCTCTTGGGATCCTGGGCACTCATGGACATGTGCCCAGCATGAGTTTAAGCCACTGAGTCCGGGACTCAAACCACTGTCAACTACGTGGGAGTCCAGTGACATAGTCATTACACCACCTGCTGGTCCCACCCTGTAGGGTTTTTTATAAGTATATTTTTGGTTTATTTCTTTCATGAGAGAGAGTGAGAGAGTGCATGTATGTACACATGATGGTGGGGAGCACCCTCTAAGTTCTATTTGCCACCTTGATTCCCTTCTCAGTACCCTCTAGTCAGCGTCTTGGGCATGTTTCAGTTCAAGCTGGGATCCAAACCAGTGGTTGGCCCTGTGGCTTCAAGGGATGCAGATCAGTGTGCTACTGCCTAAACCACTGAGACGAGGCCTTACTGTCTTTTTGCACTTTGAATGTGTTTGTTTATTAATAATTATTTATCTAGCTCTATTTATTGTCATTATTATTTTTTAAATTAGACCAGGGAGAAAGGGAGAGTAAGAAAGCAAACGACCAAGTCCAGAACTTGAACTGCAGTTGGCCATGTGGGAATCCAGCACCCTAGCCACCATGCCACCTGCCAGCCCCAGAATTTGTTTGTTTGTTTAGAGTTAGATTTTTGCTATAGAGCACATGAGCTCACTGGAGAGACAAGAGAGACAGAAAGTGAGAAATCCCCCCACCAGGGATTGGGGGATGGCCATGCCACAATCCCTTCTCCTCTGTTCTCCTCTCAGGATCTTAGGCACGCACGTACATGCACCTGACGTGAGTTTCAAGCCACCTGGTCTGGGACTCAAACTGTGGTCAGCGATGTGGAAGTCCAGTGATGTAGCCATTATGCCATCTGCTGGTCCCCAGCCCTTGACTTTGTTAGTTTAAATGAGGCATAGAAAATTATGGACTCTAGATGGATGCGTCTCTGATTTTTCTTCATTGTATAGTTTCATGGAAACCAGAAGGCAAACATTACTTTTTGGAATAGCAATGAGGTAGATGGGAGAAAACAGAATACTATAAAGAAACAAAATATTTCATATTTAAGATAGAACTAAGTTGATGTTCCTATTTCGGCTTTTCTTTGGAAAGCCTGAAGGTTTCACTGGCTACATTCCCTGGTGTAAAAGGATGGCCACACCCCTAGGTTCAGTTTCTCGTTCTGTCACATACTGGCTGATGAGCAGTGCACAAGTATATTTTCTCTCTCTTTCTCTTTTAATTTAAGAAGGTACATGTGCTTGCCAGAGATGGGGGTTGGGTGTGTGTGTGTGAGTTTGTGAAAAAGTACCTTCCATGGGGCGTGGTCCTGCATAATCCTTTCTCCATTTCTCCCTTCTTTCAGGATTTTAAGCATACATGCACGCGTGCCAGCATTTTTTTCAAGCTGCCAGATCTGGGACTTGAATCACACGGTAGGATCCAGCTGCCTTAACTGCCAGGTCACGGGCTGGGCCTTGGGCTTTTATTTTTTCACCAATAATTGTGATCATTCCTTTGTAAGTGTTTCTACAAAGTACTTAACATTGGACCCAGCAGTTGACGTAATGGCTATATCGCTGGACTCCCATGTAGTCGACTGCAGTTCGAGTCCTGGACCCGGTGGCTTAAACGCACGCTGGGTGTGTGTGCACACATGCCCAAGATCCTGAGAGGAGAATAGAAGAGAAGGGATTGTGGTGTGGCCATCCCCCCTGTGGGGTGATTTCTCACTTTCTGTCTCTCTGTCTTTCTGGCAAGCACACATGCCCTATAGCAATAAAAAACTCTCCAAAGTGCTTAACATTTATGAGATACTCAAGAAATAGTAGACCCTTGGGGACCAGCAATTAGCGTAATGGCTATGTCGCTGGACTCCCACGTAGTCGACCACGGTTCGCATCCCAGATCCGGTGGCTTAAAACTTACTCCGAGTGCATGTGCGTGCATGCCCAAGATCCCGAGAGGAGAATGGAGGAGAAGGGATTACAGCGTGGCCATCCCCCCTGGGGGGTGATTTCTCGCTTTCTGTCTCTCTGTCTCTGTCTTTGTGGCGAGCGCACGTGCCCTATAGCAAAAACCTCTCCAAAAAAAAGAAATAGTAGACCCTCTCATCGTCATCACTCATGTTATTGTAACTTATCTTTCTCTGGGTATAAAATGTGTTTTGCATATAGTAGGAGTCAACAAATGTTTGATGAATCTCTGCTTTAGATAGATAGGCAAGTCAAGCTTTTTCTCCTATCCTGAAGACACTTGAGTAGGAAAACCTCCTACACTTCCCACTCTAGGCTGATGATTCTTCTGTTCTTTTGCAGCAACAACTTGAGTACTCTTGTCTAATTTCCTCTTGATCTTAGACTCATTCACCTCTTAAACTGCTTAGTAGTTGGTTCAATATGCTGCATATAGGCCCTCCTCCCTCCTCCCTCCTACCAGAAAAGCAAGGCAAAGGAAGTTTGCAAAAACAACCAGGGGTGTTAAATTACTCATGTTTATTTATAACAGACCTTCAGCCAGTACAGTACAAAACTTACAGTAGTATATCTCCGTTACACAAATATTTACTTACAATATATTACATATACAAAATGCTTTGCAGTAAGTCTCAAAAGCTAGTTTAACTCCCCTTGAGAAAGGAGAAAAACTCTTAAAAAAGGGGGGAGGGTAAGGGAGAAACCAGAAGAAGAGAGGAGGAAGTGAAGGGGTAAGAGTCAAAGGAGACACCAAACATGGGCTATAAATGAAACCCGGGGAGAGAGGGAGAAGAGAGGTGGTATTGCACTTGCTTCTGTGTTTAATTTTTTTCTTTTTGTTTTTCATAACTTCTGATTAAAAATATATATATATATATATATTATGTACACAAGGAAAGAAGCTGCCAGAAGTATTACAAAATCCCACCTGCAGCTTGGACACTGACACAGAAAAACAAAGATCTGGAAAAGTGTCTGTTTAGAAATTTTTTTGTGTGGTATTGGTTTTGAATAGCAATATAAAAAGAAACACCTCTTTTCTCCATGTGGGTTTCAGTGTGTTTTCTTATTTTTCTTTTCTTTTCTTTTCTTTTTTTTTTTAATGCAAAATGAGCTGGGAGAGAGCATGAGGATGTTTGAGGTTCCAGAGCTGGGAGGCTCTGAAATGTAGGATTTTGTACCTAAGACCCTGGTTAAAGTGCAATGATGGTCTGGAGAGAGACAGGACGCCCCTCTCGCCCCTCCTTAGCACCTGGTCCTGCCCTTCCAGTCTCTGCTCTCATGGGCACAGAGAACATAGCCTCAGAGCATAGTCCTTCATGTTCCGGAAGGTTATAGGTGCCAAAGCTGACCAGGGGAGGGAATGGGAGCACCCAAAGGCTCTGATACCCCAGAGGGGGCTAGTCCTTGTGAGGCGTCACCAAATACACAGCAGACTCAGAAGAGGTGGGAGGTGGGAGATCTAATGGGGAGGGGCTCAATAACCAGAATGGGTCAGGAGAAGCCCAGATACTATCCTGACTATGCTGCCTTCCTGAAACAAGGAGCTAGTAGCCCAGAGTGCTGCTGAGACCACCCTCCCCTTCTCTAGAGACCACTGTCCTCTGAGCTAACCCCCACACCTCTCCCCTTGGCAGCATCTATTTATTGCTACATGTCAATGAGGAACAATCGCCCCACAGTATCTCTCCTTGCCAATCTGGTTCACTTGGGGAAATCAAATAATGGGGAAGGAGTAAGAGGAAGAGGAGAAATTTTTGTGGGATCTCCCTTCCAATAAGAAGATAGGGTAGACTCTTCCCAGAGCCCTTAAGAGCCCCAATCACAGGGTCTGTTCCTTAGCCCACCCTTTACCATCCCCCCAAAATATCCCTGATAGGGAGTGAGAAAAGTAGGAGGAAAAGAGTCAATAAGGAAAGGACATATGGAAAGAAAAATGGCAGGGAAGAGAAAAGGAGAGAGAAGAACCAAGAGTTACAACTTGTGAGGTGTTGTGTTTGGTTTTTACTTTTTTTTTCTTTAAACATAGAAAAACATCCTTTGGTTTGAATCTCAAGGAAGCAGAGAGCGGGATGGCTGTGGCCTCTGACAGCCTCCTTAGCACCTGGTCCTGCCCTTCCAGTCTCTGCTCTCATGGGCACAGAGAACATAGCCTCAGAGCATAGTCCTTCATGTTCCGGAAGGTTATAGGTGCCAAAGCTGACCAGGGGAGGGAATGGGAGCACCCAAAGGCTCTGATACCCCAGAGGGGGCTAGTCCTTGTGAGGCGTCACCAAATACACAGCAGACTCAGAAGAGGTGGGAGGTGGGAGATCTAATGGGGAGGGGCTCAATAACCAGAATGGGTCAGGAGAAGCCCAGATACTATCCTGACTATGCTGCCTTCCTGAAACAAGGAGCTAGTAGCCCAGAGTGCTGCTGAGACCACCCTCCCCTTCTCTAGAGACCACTGTCCTCTGAGCTAACCCCCACACCTCTCCCCTTGGCAGCATCTATTTATTGCTACATGTCAATGAGGAACAATCGCCCCACAGTATCTCTCCTTGCCAATCTGGTTCACTTGGGGAAATCAAATAATGGGGAAGGAGTAAGAGGAAGAGGAGAAAGTTTTGTGGGATCTCCCTTCCAATAAGAAGATAGGGTAGACTCTTCCCAGAGCCCTTAAGAGCCCCAATCACAGGGTCTGTTCCTTAGCCCACCCTTTACCATCCCCCCAAAATATCCCTGATAGGGAGTGAGAAAAGTAGGAGGAAAAGAGTCAATAAGGAAAGGACATATGGAAAGAAAAATGGCAGGGAAGAGAAAAGGAGAGAGAAGAACCAAGAGTTACAACTTGTGAGGTGTTGTGTTTGGTTTTTACTTTTTTTTTCTTTAAACATAGAAAAACATCCTTTGGTTTGAATCTCAAGGAAGCAGAGAGCGGGATGGCTGTGGCCTCTGACAGGTAACTCTCATAGAAAGAGACCTCCACCTGCAGTGGAGCTGTAGCTCCTCCTGCCCCTTCTCACTAATTGTAGGTTACCCAAATAGCCAGGGGTCTCTGCAGTAACTAGGAGGAGAGTGCCCTCTCCTAACCTATGTCTGGGAGCTGAGTGGCGAGGGGGCCAGTAAAGGATGACCCCCAGTTCAGTTGAGCCCATCCCATTCTTGCTGGAACAGGGGTGCAATGGGGTAAGGGACACATGCCCTTGCTCATCCTGGGATAATTTTTGGTTATACTGAAAATGAGAAGAGAGAAAAGAGTCACCCTTTTTTTCCCTGCCATTAATTCTAAGAATAGGGCCCAGGAGCCTGGCATTGAGAGGTGAATCCTGCTGGGAAGGACAGGAAGAAGGCAGCAGGCAGAGAGGTTTGATGCCCCTTTGCCATCAGGCAGCAACCCACTAGTGTCTCAGAGAATGGGGACTGACGGAGCCCCTGAGAGCTAGGAAGGTCACTAACGTGAAGAAGTTTGAGAGGTGAAGAGAGAGAATTGACCCACCCTTTCCCATCCCCTGGTTCCCAGTTAGGCACCTGTGGCTCCCAATGTGTCAGAGACAGGATTGGAGACCTAGCCTTGGCCCCTGAGAATATGAAATTGGGGCACTCCGAGGAGAGAAAAGCTGCTAATGAGTAGACTGGTGGGTTGAAGAGACTGGAGCAGTGTTGAGGGCTTGTTTGAGGAGAGGGAAGAGACATCACATCCTAGAGGGAGATCCTGAATGTAGGCTTTGAGTAACTCATATTACGAGGGGAATATCAGGAGGACCTTCAGTCCCACAGTGCCTGGGGAGAATTTCTTCAGCCCCTTCCTACTTCCAAATGAGAAAAATCTTCATTCATTCAAGAATAGTGCAAGCTGCCTAAAGTGAGAGGGCACAAGAGGTATGGAGTACCAGGTTGAAGGGTCCCAGAGAGGAGATATAATGCCACAGAGCTAAGGTAGGGCCAAAGGGAGGTATCAGCATTAAAACTGAAGAATTAGATAATGTAAAGTGTGAAGACTTAAAGCAAGAAGCTCAGGGTCTCTTAGTACTGAGAGGAGCTTCCAACCCCTGGAGCTGCTGGAGGACGCTGGATCAGAGAGTGAAAAACTAGGCCTACAGTAGAAGGGAGCTGTGGGCAGGAGGGAGACGGAGAGGGAGTGGCAAGTGACTAACATAAGTTAAAAAAGAAAAAGGCAAAAGAAAAACCAGTGTATTAATAAATACCTCAGTGAGTATGCTGGGATGAGAGAGAAGAGAAAAAGAAACATAAGCAAAAGACCTGTTTCATCACAATGCTTAAATCGGTCAGGGAGAAGGAGAACAGGTGAGGAGGAGTCAGGGTGAGGCGTGAAGTCAGGTAGCCAGTGGAGGAGGCTACAAGCAAAACTCCTTGGGATGTGGTGGGGTCAGGGCTGGACACCTGTGGGTAGGGCAGTGGAGTAGTTGGCTGAGGGGAAGGGAAGAGGTTGCTAGCCCACCTTGTGCTCCCCTCGGACAATGTGGGAAGAAAATTCGTACCGGTCCTGGCTGTGGTAACCACAAATGTTGCACTCGAAAGGGTCTCTGAAGCCATGGCAGCCCATGTGGATAGTGAACATGACGTGGTCCAGGAAGAGGATGCGGCAGTGCTCACACTTGAAGGCCTTCACAGGCTCACCGCTCTCACCCACCACCCGAAGCACTTCCTTGGAGGGGCCTGGGGTACCCCGCAATAACCCTTCCTGTGGCTTGGGGTCCTCTTTGGCATAGGCAGGACTGTGCCGGCCCACCACAATGGTGGGAGGTGGCTGGGGTGGGGGACCCTGAGGGAGGGACACCACCCCCCCAACTCGATCTTCATGGTTGCTCTCTGTGTCTGTGGAGTCCTGGCAGCCATTGCTGGGGGACGCCCCAGGGTCAGTCAGGGGACCTCGGGCCCGGTAGAGGAGGGGACCTCCATCAGCCAGGTCCTCAGGTCCCTCACCTGCTTCTCGGGATCCTGGAAGGTCCAGTCGACTGGGGAGGGGCTGCATCTGGGTGTAGACAGAACTGATGACTGGTGTGAGTTCTGAGATGCAATTGGTGGGTGGAAGGCGGAGGGGACGCAGATGCTCTGCACCCACAAAGGCCAGAGAACCTCCGAAGCTAGGCTCCAGGCCATGGTGTGCCACCAACTCCACATCCTTCTCATAACCACCTGAGTTCACATCATAGGGGAGGTCCGAGAGGCTAAAGCGCATCTGCTTTTCACCTGTGGAGAAGAGGGTCTCAGCCGGGCTGGGTTTGGAGAATTCCTATACCCACCTCCACCACCACCGGGATTACTTTTCAATTCATGGGGTTATATGTAACATTACTACTACTCTGCATTTCCTTCCCCTGAGGTCAGGTGCTCTGTCAGGCTGTTCCCTGACTCCAGGCTATAATCTAGATTTAGTTCTAGACTTTTAATACTTCATTACACTGCTTTATAAAGCTCCAGGTCCAGAGAGCTAATAACCAGGGTGGGGTGTGGAACCACATACTTACTTCCTCTCCGACTCTAAGGACCCACACACATCCTAGCTATTCTCAAAAACTGGGAAAGCCTGAGCCCCAAACCCCCTCCCTCACAACCACTACAAGAGTCCTCAACACTGACCCCTCTTCACTCCCTTGAGACATATCCTCCCTCTTATCTCCCCTCCTGCTGTGGGGATAGAGTCTGAACAGCAGAGACCACCAGGACTGCTTTCTTTCACAAAAATCAACACTCCAGACCAAAATCTCTGGTCTAATGGCAACCAGAGCTCATATTTATTTGAGCTATGGCTTAAAGCTGGTATCTCCTTTTAAACTAGATTCTTACCTACAAACTTCTGGGGGGTGGAACGCTTGCGTTTGGTGAGGCTATTGGCCAGACGATCAATAAAAGTTGGCCGCTCTGAGGCTGAGTGCAGCATGGAATCTGGTACCATCTCCAGGTCACGTATCTCATCACCTAGTGGGAGGGAGGTGGGGACACGGAGTAGTGGCTGAGTAGGGGAGCACTAGCCCAGCAGCCCTTGCCTGGAAAAAGTCAGCAGCCCAGCAGCCAAGGAAGGTCACAGTGGATGCTCGGGAAACTGGGCTCTTGGGCTAGCCCCATGATCTAATAGTTAAGGGAACCAGATCCCACATGGTTTGAGTCCCACCCCAGCACCTTGAAAAACATGTCAGGCATGTGTGCATGTGTGCCAAAAATCCCCCCAGAAAGTAGTAATGGAGGAAAAAGGATTGCAGCGTGGCCATTCCCCATGGGGAGTGCTTTCTCCCTATACACACCCCCATCTCTCTGGCAAACACACATACCCTCTGGCAATTAAAAAAATAATAATGGGCCAGTAGGTGGCATGGTGGTTAAGGGCACTGGACTCCTACATGGCTGACCATAGTTTGAGTCCTGGACCTGGCATCTTGCTTTCTCACTTTCTCTCTCTCTCACTCTGTCCCTCTCTGGTCAAATTAAAATAAATAAATGGATAAATAAAGTTAAGCAAAAGTAATTATTTTTTATATATATATAAATAATGGACTCTGTTTACCCTACCTAAAATTTACCCCACCAACATTTCAGGGCATCCGGAAAAATGATATTCATTTAACTCTTAATTTTATACTCCTTGTATTCTCTCCCTCCCGTTAGACTGAGGACATAGACCCAAACTTCCCCTATCTCTGGATCTCCCTACAGTATCTACCACAGGGCTCTTCACCAACAGGGGTACTCAGAACAGGGTGCTTGGCAAATTTTCTAGAGTAGTCATCCCGTATTTCACAGACCTCATTCCTGAGTCAAGGGTGTGCTAGAATCATCTTTGTCCTGTACTCCCTCTGGTCCTGCCCTCACCTCCCCTACAGCACTACCCATAGCCCCACCTGGTTGGCCAGCCAAAGCTTGGGCTTCAGTGCTGAGACTTTGTAGGTAGTTGTGGCACCGCTCCTTGTGCTCCTCCAGGGTGCTCTGTTGCTTGTAGCTCCGGCCACAGTAGTTACACTTGTAGGGCTTGCCCACGGTGGGAGAGGAGACTGGAGGAGAGAGGAGCGGAGTTACTTCTCCCTGTGCCCTGGCTCTGCAAGATCATCCAGGAGCAAACGTACACTGGCACGGGGAGGAAGCGATATTGCTAAGTTGAATTCTTCTGCTTGCCTTTCCTTCCTCAACTTCAGCTCCAACAATAGACAGACAAACGAAATTTGGAGGAGAGGGACAAAGTACAGCCATAGGAGTGAGGGGTTCCCAAACGAAATGCTTTAGACTGGTGGTGGGTTTCAAGATGGCCAAATTGCAGGGACCAGCAGTTAGAGTAATGGCTATGTCGCTGGACTCCCATGTAGTTGACTGTGGTTCGAGTCCTGAACCTGGTGGCTTAAACTCACGCTGGGAGCTTGTGCGTGTGTGCCCAAGATCCTGAGAGGAGAATGGAGGAGAAGGGATTGTGGTGTGGCCATCCCCCCTGGGGGGTGATTTCTCACTTTCTGTCTCTCTGTCTCTGTCTTTCTGGTGAGTGCACATGCCCTACAGCAAAAACCTCTCCAAAAAAAGAAAAAATAAATAAAATAGATAGCCAAATTGCTGCTTGAAGGAGGACTTGAAGACCCATGGACCTCTGAGGGGATTGTCCCTGGCAAGCAGGCAGGCCCCACCCCAGGATCTCAGAGTCTGGGGCCCAGACTGTGGTTTAACCTTTCCATGTGGCAGGCAGGTGTAAGTGCTGTTTATCAGACTAGGGGATTTTTTGCTTACGAACTATATGCTTTGTTTTGGGGGAAACTGGTGGGCTGGGGTGACAGAAACAAGAGCCCTTACATTTGCCAATGTGGGGGAGGGGCAGTTTTAATTGACCTTTACTTGAATTTCTATCTCCATCCCTAGCCTGATTTTACTAATAATTTTCTCTTTCTGTCTCTCGACATTAATATATCAAAAGAGACTCAAAAAGACCATAGAAAAATTCTGAAAAGAGAAAAAGAATAAATAAATAAGAGAAAGAAGAGTAAAAGGAAGAGAATAAGTTTAGGATTAAAAAAAAAAAAGAACAGGTTGTAAAGATCTTGTTTGGACTGAAGGAAAAAATCAGGAAAACTGAGATTGATTAATATTTTGTTTAAAGACAACTCAAGTGATGATATTTACGAGAGGAAAGAAAAAAGAGAAGAGGAGGCATATTTTACACATTCTTGCTACTGCTGAGACAGAGAAAGGTGTCTCAAAGAGGTTAATAATTACTGTTCACCTCCACACATGTCTAAACAGGGCCTTGACTAAATCAACTGATAGTACTGCCTTTTTATTTATTTATTTATTTTTTTGTCATAGGGTGCTTGTGCTCTCCAGAGAGAATCAGACAGAGAGGGAAAGTGAAAAATAACTTTCCAGGAGGATGGCCATGTTGCTGTCCCTTTTCTGTTCTCCTCTCAGGATTTTGGGCATGCACACACACTCACCCAGTATAGCCATATGGGAGCCAATGCCTTAACCACCATGCCACATGCTGGCCCATGTAATGCCATTTTGCTCTTGCTCTGTAAACTCTAGTATTTTAAGGATGAGATGAATACCATGGCCCCTATCTACCCAAGACCCTTGGGAAAATGATTTAAATAGTATCTGGGAGAGGAGTGATTCTCCATTTTCTTTGTAACAGAAAGCATCTCACAGGCCCAGCCTCTGTGGTACAGTCAGTAGTCTATTGAACTGCAGTGCTGGAAGTCACATGGCCAACTGTGGGTTTGGATCCCTGGCCTAGTCGACCTAAAACACATTGGTGTCACTGAAGGCTCATGAATTGAAGGGCTAAGGAGAGGGATTGTGGGGTGGGATGACAAAGATACTATAGAGGGTGCTTCTCTTTCTTTCTCTTTTTCATCAGTGCATGCATGTGTGTTATCATGAATAAAAAGAAACTTAAAGAAAGCATCTTGCAAAGATGGGACCCAAGAGTATGTCTGGGTCTGCTTCTGTTAATACTCTCTCACTGTACAGCATCCAAATTCCATGCAGCCAACCTTGCTGTTGATAAGAAGTCTAGGGGCCAAGCCGTCCTTTCTCCAAACAAGAAGGGGAAGCCACCCCTTTTCTGAGGAAAAGGAGCAGGTATCTTGGCACTGGCCCTTGCCGGGGTTTCGGCTAGCGTACGGAATAGCTCTGTGACTCAGAACTCAATTTTTCCCTCACAGCTTTAGTTTCCTTGTCAAGAAAATGTGAATCATCACATCTACCTTGGATCTATTATGAGGAAACACGAGGAGACACAAGTGAAACCTGTAGATTATATAGTATGAATCAACTAAGATCTTTCTCCCAATACATAAAGAAGTCCCAGTTACAAGTGGGAGACCCTGGAACAAGGCAAGTGAATGAAGAAAGTAGAGAGTAGTGAAGTGACTGCTCTGTCCCTTGAAATCCTGGCCCAGGAGAGGTTTTTCTTTAATTTAATTATTTGCTCACCAGAGAGAGACAGAGAAAGAGAGAGAGAAAATGAGAAAGCAAGCCACCAGATCCGGGACTCATTGCCAGTGCTTTAACCATCATGCCACCTGCTGGGACCCCCACCCCAGGTAAGCTTAAGAAAAGATAAATATTGGGGGGCCAGCAGGTGGTGGTTAAAGGTGCTGAATTTCCACATGGCCGACTGCAATTTGAGTCCTGGACCTGGTGGCTTGCTTTCTCACTTTCCCTTTCTTTCTCTCTCTGGTCAAATTTTTAAAAATATTAATAACAAAGGGAATTAATTAAATAAATGATTCTTTATTTTTTTTAAGAAAAAAAAAAAAGGAAAGATAAATATATCCATGAAAGTTTCCAAGGATAGACCCTACTTTAATTCTTTCTCCTTGAACTCCCTCCTTCCTGCCAGCTCAGCTCCTGGTCTCTTTCCAATTTGGAGCCAAAAGACTAAAACTTAGTAAAATGCCTGAAAGGTGCCATCTGTCCAGCTGATAAAGATGGATATTGACTCAGACAGTCTTAATTGAGACAGAGAACCTTGTTAACCCAGTTCCCCAGCACCAGTTCAAACAGTGACCTCTAGGCACCCTCTGGACTTGCTTTTGTCCCTGGAAGGGTGATAACCTCTTGGAATAAAATGGGATAGTCTTTTCCTATTTGGAGGCCCTAGGCTTCCTTTTTTGTTTTGCTCAGTTTTGGAGGCCCATGGATATTTATAGGAGCTGGTAGGAAGTAAAAGAGATGACGAACAGTGGTTGCCCAGAACCGCTGCTGTTGCAGCGGAGGTTGAAGATGGTGATAGGTGAAGGGCCTGGGGAAGATGGGAGTGGGAGGAGAAGTTTCTCTGGGGCTCAGAATTGGGGGGTGATGGGGCATGGATGCTCTGGCATCATAACAATCTTTAAAAATCAAAAGTTGGGGGATCTGCAGTTAGCATAATGGCTATGTTGTTGGACTCCCATGTAGTCAACCATGGTTCAAGTCCTGGACCTGGTGGCTTAAACTCACGCCAGGCGCATATGCGTGCATGCCCAAGATCCCAAGAGGAGAATGGAGAAGGGATTGTGGCCATCCCCGCTGGGAGGTGATTTCTTGCTTTCTGTCTCTCTGTCTCTGTCTTTCTGGCAAGTGCACACACACTATAGTGAAAACCTCTCCAAAAAAAAAAAAATCAAAAGTCGGGAGACCAACAGCTGGCATAATGGCTATGTTGCTGGACTCTCATGTAGTTGACCGTGGTTCGAGTCCCGGACCTGGTGGCTAAAACTCAGGGTAGGCGTGTGTGTGTGTGTGTGTGGTGTGTGCATGTCCAAGAACCTGGAGAGAAGAATGGAGGAGAAGGGATTGTGGCATGGCCATCCCCCCTGGGGGGTGATTTCTTACTTTCTGTCTCTCTGTCTTTCTGGGGAGCACACACGCCCTGTAGCAAAAACCTCTCAAAAAAAGAAAAAAGAAATAAAAAGTCAGGGCTGGCAAGCGGCATGGTGGTTAAGGGTGCTAGACTCCCACATGGCCAACTGCAGTTCGAGTCCTTGCCTTCTCACTTTCTCTCTTTCTTTCCCTGTCCTTCTCTGGTTAAATTAAAAAGTAAGTAAATAAATTTTTAGAAAGTTAAATAAAATAATTCTTAAAAAAAAGTCTTGGGACCACCAGATGGTGTAATAGTTATGTCATTGGACTTCCATATAGTTGACCACGGTTCGAGTCCTGGACCAGGTGGCTTAAAACTCACACCAAGCACATGTGTACACATGCCCAAAATCCTGAGAGGAGAATGGAGGAGAAGGTATTGTGGCATGGTCATCCCCCTGGGAGGTGATTTTTTGTTTTCTGTTTCCCTGTCTCTCTGGCGAGCACATGTGCCTTATAGCAAAAATCTCTTAAAAAATCAAAAGTCAGGAGAGGTGACTGTGAAGAGCCAAGATTATCACCTATGCTCTCTGTAGTTTCTTCAAAGTGTGGCAGATGTAAACTATGCCATCAAGGAGTCCCTCAAACTTTCATGGGGCCCTACTGCCCAGAGGTGGGTTAGAGAGGGAGGGCCCTATCTGCTTTAGAAATGCTCTTCCTTGCTCAGTGACAGACAATGTAACCCCTCAAATACAAGAGGAGTCACTGAGCTCCATTTACTGGTAGTATCAGGGCCCCACCCCCACATCTCCCACCGGACAACCACTGACCCGAGTGTGTGCGGAGGTGGCCGGTGAGTGCATCACGCCGGCGGCAGGCATAGTTGCAGAAGGGACATTTGAAGGGCTTCTCCCCAGAATGCAGCTTAATGTGGCGTAGCAGGTTCCCCTTCTGGGTGAAAGAGGCACCGCACTGGTTGCAATGGAAGGGCCTTTCACCTGCAAGTGAAAGAACAGATTCCAGAGGACTTGGTGTGAGGAACTTTCAAGGCTGAATGTTGCCACCCCACCCTCTGCCCCTCCCTGCCCAGAGGAAGGTGCAGGATGAGGGGCAAGACAGAGCCACACACACACAAATCCTGCTTTGTTTATTTGTTTAATCTCCAGAAAGAGATACAAGGGGAGAGAAAGGGAGAAAGCACCCCAAATATGGTGTGGTCACGTCACAGTCCCCTCTCATCCATTTTTCCATCCTATCAGAATTTGGGGACACAGGAACCAGCAGTTAACGTAATGGCTATGTCGCTGGACTCCCATGAAGTCGAGCGCGGTTCGCGTTCCGGACCCGGTGGCTTAAAACTCACGCCGGGAGCGTGTGCGTGCTTGCCCAAGGTCCCGAGAGGAGAATGGAGGAGAAGGGATTGCGGTGTGACCATCCCCCCTGGGGGGTGATTTCTCGCTTTCTGTCTCTATGTCTCTCTCTGTCTGTCTGGAGAGCGCACGTGCCCTATAGCAAAAAAACTCTCAAAAAAATAAAAAGAATTTGGGGACACATACACACACACTTGTACCAGCATTTTTTAAGCCACCAGGGCTGGGACTTAAACCACGGTCGGCTATATAGGATCTGGTTCCCTTATGAAGATGTAGAGTAGAAGTGTGTGGCAGGGAGAGGGGTGCCAGGCTAAAAGACTTACCAGCCCGAACAGCCCCACAGGGCACACCCTGCAGCCCAAAGCCTGCAGAAGCTGAGAAGAGGCTTATGTTTTCGTTTTTTTTCAGTTCCGAGATGGAAGGACAAAATAAAACCCCGGTATCCTACCCCTGTTAGACTATAGGATCCTTCTTAAGGCTACAATGCCCTCTTTTCCCTCACATCCTGAGAAAAATATCAGCTTTTCTTTATAACAATAGTTAAGGAAAATGCTGGGGGAGTAGAGGCAATGAGGGGCGTCCCAATTCCATCCCCCTATTTTCATCAGTAATTCAATGTGCTGGGAGAGACCTTTCCTTTCTGAAGCCACTCCACTCCTCGCTTGGCCTCTGCTAGCCTCCTGCTACCATGCCTGGGCACTGCCTCTGCGCCTCAACCTCACTCCGGGCTCCTCCAGGAACCCCTTTGGCTTACTCACCAGTGTGGCTACGCTTGTGCACCATGAGCACGTTGGGTCCGATACAGACCATGCCGCAGACATCACACTTGAGCTTGCCATTGGGCAACCGGATGCCACCAGGGGAGTGCGGCTCGGGCCCACTCCCATCACAGTAGCCCAGGGGCTCCGACAGTGAGTCCTCCACAATCACGCTGTCATCCTTTTCCAGGAGCCGCTCATCGGGCCCCAGCAGTCTGCTCGACTCCTCATCGCTGTACATCTCCACCTTGATGGAGTTGGCTGGAGGGTGAGGTGGGGTTTAGGACAGAGACAAGCAAAGGGGGAACCTGCCCCAGGTCAGAATGGCTCCTGAAGTCCAATGGGTGTCTCCAGGCCCTGACGCAGTCAGGCTTTAAAGGAGGCCAATACCCAGGAGTCTTATAGGAACTTAAAATTACTTTTTCCTTCTCTCCCACCCATCAGGCAAATAGGCTTCGAGAGAAAAATGTTGGGGTACATAGGATATTGTCTATCACTGGGGAGAAGAGGTGGTAAAGGAAGCCTTTTTCTTTAGTCTCTTGTCATCAAGAAAGATGTCTGGCTTGGCCCTGGGCAGGAAGCCAGAAAGTGATAGTGGCGGGAAAACAGTCTCAGGAAGACTGGGGGCTGGGGGGGGGGGCTAAAGAGAAAGCAAACCTGGAAGACAGATATGGCTCACATCATCCTTCCACTCCGTGACACTGAACCCCTACCCTACTCCATAGAAATCTGAGGTGGAGGTGGGGGGATAAAGAAGGGAGGAGCCATTGAGGAGAAGGCTTTGGCTCCAGCTCTGACCTACATTCCTGGCTATTCCAACCATTTAGAGAATGTCACAGATCTAGGGCCAGCTGGGGAGGGGCAGTCATGGGGACCCTGTCTGGGCAGGAGAATGGGGTGTGAGAAGCTGGGGAGCTCCTCTGCTGTCCATTTCCTCTCCAGCTAATGCCCATTTCCAGCGACCTGCTGCTTCAATCCCAGAATTGCTCTTTGGAGTCTTTGCCTTAACCCCACCTGTGCCTCCTTTAACTCTACTGTAGTCTGGCAGGGACAGTCGCTCTCCTTTTAGGAGCCAGGAAAACCCTAGACATGGGGCTCCTTGGTGGCTTTAGAGACACTGAGCAGGACATCAGTGGGAGGTGACGATGGGAAATGCTTGCCAGTGGAAGGTGACTTGAGGGCCAAACACAAATGGGGTTGCCCAGTGCCAGGAGAGGGGAAGGCTGCACTTACCACTGAGTGAGCGGCTGGGAGAAGAGTGCTGGCTGTTGGGGGTGCTCACCGAGGGCCCCACAGGGGCCCCAAGGAACTCCTTCTCCAGAGACGAGTCCCCGCTACCTTAGAGGAGAGAATAAGAGGGCAGATAAAGCTGGAGCTGGAGCCATCTACAGTCTATTGCCTCAACTTTTACAAAAAACTCAGTTAAACTTCACGAATATTTATTTCATGGTCACATATAAGGCAATGGTTTATGCTGGGCACCATACCTTGTGCCTCTGCCAGCCTGGGTGCCTGGTGCTGACTTCCGTGAGCTCAGTAGCTAGGCCTGGCCTACCCTACCTTTATCTAGGCCTGAGGGGAAGAGCATCACTGCCTGACGTCCACAGGAAGCAGGGCTGGGCTGGGCGGGCCAGGGTGGAAAGGAAAATGGTGGCCTCAGGAGGGAGGCTGCATAGAAGAGAGGTTCTTCCCTACTGTTCCTCTCCTGAGCCTCCAATACTAGGTTCAGGATCTGCAGGAAAGGCAGATCATTCCTGAATCTATTGATAATATCGGTAATGATAACCATAGCAGCCTAATATTAATTGAATGCTATCTACCAAGTGTTATTCTACACACTTGAAATGGATGATCTCATTTAATCTTCATAACAACCCTAAAAAGTAGGTGCTAATATTATCTTAATTTTTCAGATGAGGAAACTGAACACAAAAGAGGTGATGTGACTTTGCTAAGGTCACATAGCTGGCAATGTGGAACTGGGATCTAGGTGATCACAGACAACGAAATACTATGTCCTTAACCACCAGCTACACAACGGAGAGTCACTCAGTAGGGGAGGGTTGGGCTCATTAGGCTTTCTAAATTGAGCAAAAATTTGACTATTCTAAAAAACCTCCATCTGACCTGATTCCTATCACATATTTACTATTTGATATTCCCTGGAGAGTTATGTAACCAGTTTATTCTCCATATATTCATTTTAATTCGTGGATAAATTGCTTTGTAAAAAATGCTTCTTTAGAGTTTCATAATATTTAAAAAAATAAGATAACATACCTGAAGACATAAATGCCTTTTTTTTTTAAAAAATCCCCCCACCCCAGGATCTTCTGCACAGATATACAGGTGAAATAAAAACACATGTAGATACACACACACACACACACACAGAGACACATGTCACATATGTAGAGACACATACAGAGAACATACCTACTGGGGTAAACATACCCATAGCCTTCTACATTTATCTGCTAAAATGAACATGCATGGATGTATGCACACAGGCCTAAATATGGAAGAGAGAGAAGGAGAAAGAGAGAGAGAAAGAGAGAAAGCCTAAAATCCATCCCTGAAGTCCACCTATTCGTACTTTACCCAATTGCCCAGCTATGCACATACTTACTTTCACAAAATAAAGATTCCATTATAAAATGGTTGGAGTCTTGGGCCTGAGGCAAGAAATCCGGAACACACCCTCCTGAGGGATCCCTCTCCAGCTTTGGTCAGTGGGAAGAAAACAACCACTCAGGACTTTGGGACCATTTCCCATTCATCTCCTCTTCTAAAAGTCCCATTTCCCCCAATCTATCCCAGCAGAGCCTAAGAAGTTTGCTCACTATCTGTAGAAGAGGCTTTATGGCTTGAGTCTGAGTTTTCCTAGCTGGGGCTCTTTAGGTGAACCATATTTACCTAAAAATGTGCAAAATCGAAACATCACATGTATCATGAAGTGCACATTTCAGGGTTGTATGTTGAGACGTGTAGTCTTAGACCTAGTTTTAAAATGTGTACTTGTAACTAAGAGTAGGGTTTACTAGGGTTAGAAGTGTGAGAAGTATGTCTTCTTAGTTCCTTTCAAACGTTGGTGCTAACTTTCCCTAAATCACTTGATATGAGTTATGGGGGAAGACTAGGGCTCTGGGCCCTGGCACGGAGGCCCTGACCCTAAAAGGGATGAAGGAGCTTGCTGGAAATCCATCTCTGGACCCAGTTTACTAAGCTGAGGTTACCTCTTAGGGCCAGGGGCTTGCTATATGGGAAAATAGCCTTAAAGGGACACTTAGACATTAAAGAGAAAGCATCCTTGGGGCTCTTCCAATTAAGGCCTGGAAAGAGGAGAAGAGCAGGAGCCTCCAGTAATTCCAGACTTTGATGCTGCTGTCTTCCCTAGGATAAAGGTAAGAGGGAAGACAGGCTCCAGTCTACTTTCACGAGGTCAACACATCAAAATGAATCTGTTTGGGGGTCAGAAAGTCTGTCTGGGGCCCCAGGGATTTTGCATTTTAGCCAGAGGGTGAAAGGGATTAGAGTCAGATTTAGGATATTCAGCAGTTCCTCTCTCAGCCCCAGAAACCCCAGTGAGGGAATTTTAAATGCCTGGGACTCCCAAGAAATTCCAGACTGTCAAAGCCAAGAATTAAGGCTGCTTTCAGGTCTCGGAGAAATTTTCTTGGTCAAAGTCATCATAGATTGGCTGAACCCCCAGAGGGCAAAGCAAATCATGAGGTTCACATCAGAGGAACTGGGAGGTGGGTAAAGGGCAGAAAAGCAGGAGGGAGAGAAAGGAGCCGGGAAGCAGCCCCGCCGCTAAATGTGTTTCACATGTTGAAGGAGATCAGCCCTCCGCTCCCGCCGCTCTGCCTCCATCCCTTCGAAGAGTGGCTACCTCCAGGGAGTAACCATGAGCTTGGAGGACCTGCACACTTCTCTGCCAGGGACCTTGTCATCATCGCTTTTCCTTTCTTGACCATGGGCTCCAAGGTGGCAGGACGCTAGCCTCCTAGCCGGGAATAGTGGGTACAGCAAAGAAAGCCGCCCCTCCCCAGCTCTATTGTGGGGAGGCGGCGAGGCCCCTCAGATCTCTGTTCCAGGCTGAGGCATCTGCCAAGGCTCCTCTTCCTCACCTCGGTTCTCTGCTCCCCATTCCCACCCAGGCCTGTCTCGGCATTTCACCCCAGCCAGATCTCCCCGTGTCCCCAAGGCCTAATCAAGATGTCACCACAGGCTCCCACTGTCCAAGTCGCCGTCTTTGCTTAGCAACACCAAACACCCGTTCCCATCCTCCGCAAGTGTAAGGAGGAACGCCCCCTCCCCCGCCACACACACACAGCCCCCATCCTCTCCCTCTCCTCGGGCTTGGGAGTTGTTACTGAATTGGCTCCCTAGCCCCGGTACCCCCTTCCCCCCTCCACTAGCCGCCTTCTGCCTGAACTTACATTATCCTTCCCTTGCCGGTGAGACCCTGGGGTGCGAGCGCGGCCGCCGCCTTGGAAACGGCGAGGGAGTGCGGGTGGTGTGTGCATGTCTGCGTCTTGGGGGCAGGCAGGGGTGAGCCCAGCCACTCACCTTCCAGGAAGCGTGGATTCCTGGAAGTGAGGGGAACCGCCGTCATTTCGCAGGCAGCGGCAGCGGCACGGTGAGCAGGGGCCCACGGCTGCAGCCAGCGAGCACAGCTCAGCCCAGGCTGTGTGTGTTGAGCGAGTGTGTGCGGGAGAGAGGGAGAGAGACGGCACACTTGGATGTGCTTGGGGAGGGGGCTGGAGAACTGTCTCTGTGTGTAGTGGGGGACGCCAGGCTCCAGCAGCCCTGTTCCGAGGCACCGAGCGGGTGGGGGGCCGCACAGGGAGGGGAGGCAGACGCTGTTGCCCTCGTGCCCAGCAGACAAAGAGGAACTGCACAACAAACGCCTGGGAGAGGCAAGAGTGTGTGCGGGAGAGAGATGGATGGCTTGCGGGTGGGAGGGAGCAGGGGGGGCCCCAGGGAAGGCCAATCCCCTGCCAGCTGGGGAAGCCAAGGCCCCAGAGGTCATGGGGCCCAGGACACGGGGCAGCTTCAAGGCTCCCGGAGGGGCGGAGGCCCCTCCCCCACCGAGCTCAGGCACTCGCCCTCCTCCTGCGGGAGGCTCCCAGATCTGGTCCTTCCCAGCACCGAGAAGGCCAGCACAATCTGCTCTCAGACTGGTGCTGCCCGGGCCGGGCCGGAGTCCCTTCAAATCCCAGGCAGAAAGTCTGGCTCAGGCGCCCCCCTCCCTCCCTCCTGCGGCCCCGGGGCCTCGCAGTCCACAGCCCTGGATGAATCCACCCTCTATCAGGACACGGGCTCTGCTCCTTCCCTTCCAGAGGAGCTGCTCGCTGGCGAGCTGACCTACTTTGGAAGACTCTGTTTTCAGATTCCAAGAATTTGGGGGCGGGAGGGGCCGTGAAACTTTGGGCTGCCTACCCCGTATCCCTTTCTGCTAAGGTTCCCGCAAACAGTTGACATCCCCAGGAAACTTGGGCAAGCGCTGCTCCATTAATTGTGTGAACTGGGTTTGAGGGACTTGGTTTCCCTGACAGTCAGGGAGATGGGGTGATAGGGGGCTCTCTCCTTCTCCCCTACCCCCCAGAGGGAGTGACCTGAAGGGAGAGAAAAGAGATTTTTCGGAATCGGGTTTTGTGAGGTGGTAAAACCTCTGTGAAGAGCGAGAGAGATACCCCTTGCGTCAAGTTGCCGGGTGAGGGAAGGCCGCGGCTGAAGGGCTGCGGTGACCTGTGAGGGGCGGGGTGCTTCGGGAGGTCGAACACTGCAGCCCTGCCTTCTGCTTCCACATCAGCCCAGGAGAGAGGAGTCGGTGATGGGCTCCCACGGCCCCTCCAGGGGACAGTCTCGGTCATGCCCAATCCGCAGGGGCACTTTCAGAACTAATGTTAGTCCCACCTTGGCTTCCCTTTTCCTTCTCTAAGGTAGCTGCCAACGTCTAGAATTCCCCTTGCACAGATGAAAGGTTCTGGTCTCCACTTTTATTCAAAACCCATCCAAGCATAGGCAACTTTTCTTTTTATGGCTGGGGTAGGGGCAGTTTTAATGCTGTGTCAGGGGGGCTGGCAGGTGGCACGGTGGTTAAGGCAGCTGGACTCCCACGTGGCTATGGTTCAAGTCCCAGACCTGGTGACTTGCTTTCTCACTTTCCTTCTCTCTAAGATCAATTACAAAAAAATAAGGGGCCAGTAGGTGGCATGGTGGTTAAAGCCCTGGACTCCCACATGGCTGACCATGGTTCGAATCCTAGACCTGGCAGCTTGCTTTCTCTCTCTCAGTCTGTTTCTCTCCCATCGAATTGAAGAATAATAAGTAAATAAATAAATTTAAATAAATAATTCTTTAAAAATAAAATAATGACAAATAAATTAAATAAAATACTGTGTCAGGCTGAGTTATACTTCATGAATAAGTAACTCCTAAGTCTCAGTGCCTTCATCTAAAAGTTTGTTTCTCATCATGCTACATGTCAATTAGATCAACGGAGTACTCTGTTTAACTCATTGTAGTTAAAATGCAAAAATCTGAGATCTGGTCAATTTAACAGTGTTTATTTGAACAAGAGATAGGTTCTAGAATTGGGGTGCTCTCCAGATCCAAGAGGGTTCAGAATGCTCCCCAGAGGTTGTCTTATCTGGGAACTGGCAACCTGCTCAAAGCAGGGAGAGCTTGGTTTCATAGCATAGTGAAGCAAATATTCTCAGTTTTTTTAAGTATCTAACATTCTCTAGAAATAGGACTAAAAAGAGCTCTACTCCATAGACATCTCCAGACCTTAGTAGGTCTTCATTTGCCTGCCTTCCGGAAGGAGCTGGCATTTTTCCATTTGAATTTTCCCCAGCACTAATCAGGGTTCTGAGGGTACTTGTTGCTCAATAGTGGTTTTCTTAGCAGGCTTAACTGAGCAGGTGGCAGGAGGATTGGCTGGTTCCTCAGAAGAGTCATGGGGCCAGAGGTTGGTGTGGTGGTGAAGGTGGCTGGATCCTACATGGCTGGCTGTACAGCTGGAGTCCCAGATGGTTGAGAAACACACCAAGCACCTGTGTGTGAGTGCTCAAAATCCCAAGAGGAGAATGGAGGAGAAGGGACTGCAGCGTGGCCATCCCCCTGGGGGTGATTTCTCATTTTTCTCTCTCTCTGTCTCACTCTCTGACAAGTGCATGCATCCTATATCCAATTTAAAAAAAGAAAAGAAAGGCCATGAATTTAGTTCCAATAAAATCTCTTTCAATGAGATCAGTCCACCTGATTTCTGTCATTCTGTCTACCATGTGGCAGGTATTGAATGCCTTTATTCACTCCAACTTTTCCCTCCTTGAATGAGAAAGGAGTCAAGGTCAGTGTTACCTTATATTATCATGGGACTACCAATGCCTTTCACTTGTATATATGACCCATCTTGGTATCTTCCTTAAAGCATGCCAATAATTCCTTCATTGTCCCACATTAGAGTAAAACAATAAACTACAGGTCATTTTCTCAATGGTGCTTGGATTTTTGACGGGATATTTATCACATCAAACCCATTTTTTTTTTTTTTAAGGGAGATTTTGCTATAGGGCACGTGTGCTCACCAGAGAGACAGAAAGTGAGAAATCACCCCCCACAATTCCTTCTCCTCCATTCTTCTCTTGGGATTTTGGGCACACACTCACGTGCCTGGCGTGAGTTGTAAGCTGCCAGATCTGGGACTCAAACCACAGTCGACTGTGTGGGAGTCCAGCAATGTAACCATTATGCCATCTGCTGGTTCTTTAAAACCCAATTTTGTCTTTCCCTGCCTCTATTAATCATTTCCTATGCTGACATTCTAATGGTCCAAAAAATGATACTGTCCATCTTAGAGACAAACTCCATCTTAGGCTCTTTCCTTCACTCTCAGAAGGAATTGAATAAAATTCCTTATTTATTTTTATCTTGTGAAGCTTTGGGAAGAACTTGTTAAAGTTTCTAATTTCTTTCTGCCTTTTAAAATTTGTTATATCTGTTTACTTCATAGCTCTAAAAGCCAGACATTCTCTAAGCTATGATCTCTTCTGCCTCAGAACACTTGGCAGGTGCAAAGAGCTATAACACGTTAAGGCTGTGGAAAAGGACTGAAGGAGTGAGAATTGGGTTCTATGTCCTTACTTTTGAAGGCTGTAAACTAGTGGCCAACTGGATGAATTAGGCCCACAGTAGGTTTGACTTATCATGGAGCATTTTTAAAAAATAATTATGTATTTTATTTTATTTGTTAATTATTTTTTAATTTTATCAGAGAGAGACAGAGAAAGAAAAGGGAAAGTGAGAAAGCAAGCTGCTAGGTCCAGAACTCGAACTGCTGCTGGCCATGGAGGAGTCCAGCGCCAAACTACCACATCACCTGCTGGCCCCACTATTTTTTATTTTTTAAGAGAGATTTTTGGTATAGGGCATGTGTGCTCACCAGAAAAACAAAAAACGAGAGACAGAAAGTGAGAAATCACCCCCTAGGGGGATGACTACATTGCAATCCCTTCTCCTCCATTCTGCTCTTGGGACTTTGAGCATGCACACACACATACCCAATGTGAGTTTTACGCCGCGGGTGCAGGGCTTGACAGCAGTCGACTATGTGGAAGTCCAGCCACATAACTCCTACACCATCTGCTGATGCCATCATGGAGCACTTTTTAAATAATTATTGAGTTGGGGCCAGCAGGTGGCTTGGTGGCTGGGGTGCTGGACTCCCACATGGTTGACTGCAGTTTGAGTCCTGGACCCAATGGCTTTCATTCTCACTTTTCCTCCCTCCCTCTTTCTCTGTCTCCCTCTGGTGAGTGCATGTACCCTATAGCAAATTTTAAAAATAACAATAATAAAAGAAATATTTAGTCATCATTTAAAAATAAAGATATTTCATATGAAAATGTGGATTTCTCATTTCTCTGAAAAGGCTGGATGGGGACCAGCAGTTGGCATAATGTCTATGTTGCTGGACTCCCATGGGGTCAACCATGGATCGCGTCCCAGACCCTGTAGCTTAAACTCATGCCGGGTGCGTGTACGTGAGTGCTCAAGATCTCGAGAAGAGAATGGAAGAGAAGGGACTATGGCGTGGCCATCCCCTCTGGGGGGTGATTTTTTGCTTTCTGTCTCTCTGTTTTTCTGGCAAGCGCATGCACCCTATAGCAAAAACTTCTCCAAAAAAAAAAAAAGGCTGGATGTTTTGGCTACGTCAGATACACACTCCTGCATGGCAGTGACAGTAGACACTGAATAGCTGCTGTGCCTTGCAGTGGGACAGGTGCTCTCTAGTCTGTGACAGTCTCTGCTGTTCTAACCTGTTTCACTCCATCACACGCCCACCTGGCCCCTGCACGTGTTTGAGATGTGCAACCCTGCTCCACCCTTTACCTGGATGGCACAGAATTTCACGTATGGCTTGTGACCTCAGAACAGGGGGGAAGAAACCCAGTCTTTCTTCCTTTGGTGCGCTTCAAATCATTCCTTTAATACTGCCCCCTCATGTTAGTCTTCTATCTCCTTCCCCTTTCCCTAACCAAGGGAAAACAATCACTATTTAGGGAATGCGAAACCACAAAAGAATTGCACAATACTGAGTACTACCAAGGCATTTAGAGGACGTGTACCTAGGCTGGAGGCTCTCTGCCTGCTCCACGGGAGAACGTCGCTCCCAGCCCTTTACAGACAGAACACACAAGAAGGCATACCAGACATATAGGAGCGGCCATTGCAGTCTTCTATGTCCATTTTAAAGAGATTCTGCTGAAAGAGAAAATAGCTGCTCTTAGACGTCAGATCTGGGAGGGGAGGAGGCTCTTCTTTAACATTCTGGAGTTAGCAAGGAGCCTAAAGGATGGATCACTTAAGCATGGTCCGAGACTATCCTAAAGAAGGAAATCTTCATACTTTGTCCTGGTGAAA